CTAAATTGTCAGGCACAGACAGCCACAGGAATAAGTCAGCAGTCGTGTCCCACTCCGCTTCTCCACCCTTAAGCTAAGTAATAATCTCTTGAAGCTGCTTGCTATGTGGACTCTAAACTTACAGACACCACAACTTGCTATAAATTAACAATGCTGCATCCTCAACACCATAACTTATACCCTATAGTGCAACAATGTACAGACAATCACTTATTAATGCCTGAATAAACCAATAACAACTCTTGACAAATAACATTTTTATTGGCCCAATCCTTTTCTCCTTTTTTTGCCATTAAAATCATGCTTGTAATAAAGACCAAATGGAGCTCCTATCCAAGATTACTTGGGTCTGAGTCTTTCAGGCAGTTATCTACAACTTGGCTCAAATAAACACTTAAAAATATATATTTTGTGCCTTAGTTTCTTTCTTTTGGTTACAAATTTATAAAGTGATAGCACTTGAGAACAAAATCAAGAATGACATTATCAGCAACATCAAAAAATAAACTTGAAACAACTCAAGTCCTAAAATCAGTGGAATGGGGGAGTAAATTGCCCACAGACTCAGGCAGCAGCCTGTGTGCCACAGAATGAGGCACAGAAAGCATAACAAAACCTTTCAGCAAAATGTTAATGGTATATTAATAGTAACATTGAGTTATGGAAAACTCAAAAGAGGCAAAACAGGAAAACACTGTTTTATGATAAATACATGGTTAAGCTACAAAGACTAAAGAATCAGGAGTGTGGTGACCTCTAGGGAGACAAACCAGAATTTCTCAGTACTTATTTATTCACCTGGACAGTGAGGCCATGTGGGATTATATTATTTTTTCAACTCAGCATAAAACAATAACTTATTTTAAAAATGAGTTTTGGGCCAGGTGCAGTGGCTCACACCTGTAATCCTAGCACTATGGGAGGCCGAGGTGGGAGGATCACTTGAGGTCAGGAGTTCGAGACCAGCCTGAGCAAGAGTGAGACCCCATATCTACTAAAAATACAAAGAACTTAGCTGGAAAACTAAAAATATATAGAATAAATTAGCCAGGTATGGTGGCACATGCCTCTAGTCCCAACTACTCGGGAGGCTGAGGCAGGAGTTTGATTGAGGTTGCTGTGAGCTAGGCTGACACCACAGCACTCTAGCCCAGGAAATAGAGTGAGACTCTGTCTCAAAAAAAAAAAAAAAAAAAAAGATTTTGCTTCTTCAGACCCTATCACTCACTATACTCATATTTTCAACCAAGAAAATAAAAAGCTTAAACTCAAATCATGGAATAAAATTCTTAAATACTTTGGAAAACAGGAATTCTATGGCAAAAAAGATTTTATAAAGTTCTCCTTCCATGGTTGGTGTGAGCAGGCTGGGAGACCTGCAGTGGAGGCTCCCCAGGAAGAACTAACTGGGCCTCCAATGACCTCCTGTGGCAGGCTCAACATTAGCCTTAGCTTGGAGTCAGTGGGCTCAGGCCTTTGCTTTTTAGTCAGGGTTATTTACATAATTTTATATAAGAAAACACACAGTATTTAAAGATGGCAGCAAAATCACTCAAATTCAGTGTTTATGTTTATAGAACAAAGGGAAATTCTAAGGGGGAAAAATTCAAACCCTAAGTGTTGTTCCTCCGCTCTCATACCAGAACAATCAACACAGAAGATTTCTGTGACCAAAGGTGAGGGGACTTCTCCCTATCAACAAGAAACAAATCAATTTTGCAGGAGACACCAGCTAGGTGTCCTCAAACCCATTTCAATTCCAACATTATCTACCTGAAGATGGGGGATGGGGCAGAGACTGTTCATGTCCTTGCTAGAGTCATCACCTTCCAGGAAACTCCATGTATTCAGCTACGTGGAAGCTCCCCAAACCCCATCCTTTTGGGTTTTTATGTAAACTTCATTTCATCCGCATAATTAATTAAACCATAAGTCATTGGTTATCAACTTAACCTTAAGCTCCTCTCTCCTCTCTAGAGGGGGAGGAACGGAAAATTCCATCACTCTGGGCATGTGGCTCATTCCCTTGGCAACCAACATCCCATCCAGTGGTTTCTATGGGCTTTCCAAAAATCCTCTTATTAACATAAGTCAAGTGCTTTAAAGACCACGTTGTAAATATTAATAACAAAAGACTATCTTTCACCTTTACTGGTCAGGAGTTACCTCAGAAACCATGGACAAAATACTAAATAATCTAACAAAGGATATTTTTACTGCCCTAGTCACTTAGGAAATAAAACATACAGGAGCTGAGATTCAGAAATCGTGGGGAAAAATCAAAATATATTTATCACAACATCACAGAAATTATAAGGCACTATAATGTCATACCTCAACAGAAAAAGCAAACGTATCTATCCCTTTCAGGCAATAAACAGCCCACTTAATTATTGTTTGCATTATAACAAATCATTTAGTAAATACATTTATGAGTTGCCAGATCCTGTCTCATAGGATTGATCATTAAACTTCAATATTCAGACAACAGTATACAAAACAGAGCTACCCACTGTCACAAATTCTCCACACTGCAAAAAAGAGAGGAATGGATGTTCTGGTGAATCTGTCATTCACCAATTTTTCTACCCTACTTTCTTATGGAAATGTATTCATTCATCTGCAACCAAAATGGAAGACATATTTTTTTCCAATTTTCTTTCCTAGGTAGCATTCCCAAAGCTAAGCTCTGGAACGCCTTTATTTACAGGTATCCAAATAAAGACATACATACCCGAGAAAGTTACTACATTCACTATGGGAAGAAAAATGGTAAATAACAATTTTTAACAAGTTGAATATATGACCAGATTTTTTAATGAGATCTATGTTTTTCATTCCTCTTTGAAAATATTTTATCTTGCAAGCTCTACTGCTAAAATTCATTTTACAGTTAAAGAAAAACTGAAAGGAAAATAAGTCAACAAATCTTTTCTAGGTGACAAACCCATAGAAGGGGAAGTGCTGACAGAAACACCAACACATATGACTCAAGTGTCAAGTCAGGCCATCCTATCACTTGGCAAATCTGCCCACCCATCCGGCTCATTGAAGTACTAGATGACCCTTCTCCCAGGAGACACTGCACTGTGCCCGGCTTTGTGCCTGAAATGCATTTTGCTTTGCAGGTTCTTGCACCACCTCATTGGAGTCTGTTTTCTTTATCCTTTGAGGTAGTTTTTCCCCCTTCACAAGTGTAAGAAAATCCAGAGAGCCAGAATCATTTTTGTCTTTTTTCCTCAAGAACAGCATCCAATTGGCATGTCTCCAAGAAATGAAAACTGGGGTTGGGGGAAAAAATCTTCATGTCTTAGGTAGTTAAGCTTTGCAGATGAAGGGTACACCAGGAGGAACATCTCAGCCCCAGGCATCCTGATGCTCTCCTGACAGGCTCCAGCTCCAGACCTCAGGCTGTCCCCTGGGACAAGACCCAGGGGCTGATATTCACTAGACACTTCAAGAGACAAGGCCACTGTGGGCATTCTGGGTCATCTCCACACAGTTATGAAACTCAGGTCCAGGAAAAGACAGGAGGGTGGCTGAGGACACTTTATCTTATAAAATTTCTATAGAGAAACCTCAACCCTATGACATTCTGGTAAGATATCTGTGCGTAGGGAAGATAAAAGAAGGAGAGGCACAAAGCATCATTATAACAGAGTGTCAAGTGAATATTCTCTGATTTCCTCATGTGAAATGTTCAGAAACACAAATATTTATTTTTTCTTTTTATTTATTTATTTTTTTGAAACACAATCATGCTCTGTCGTCCAGGCTAGAGTGCCGCATCAGCCCAGCTCACAGCAACCTCAAACTCCTGGGCTCAAGCAATCCTCCTGCCTCAGCTTCCTGAGTAGCTGGGACTACAGGCCTGTACCACTACACCTGGCTTATTTTTTCTATTTTTAGTAGAGATGGGGTTTCACTCTTGTTTGGGCTGGTCTGGAACTCCCGAGCCTCCTGCCTCCTGCGGAGGCCTCCCAGAGTGCAAGGATTATAGGCCTGAGCCACCACACCCAGTGCCACTGCTCTGTGAAAAATGATAAACAATTAAAACATTCTGTCTCTTTAAAAGTTCAATAAAGGACAAATAGTGGATAACATGAATTGGTGAGTGGAACTTCATATTTGGGGATGCAGGAGATTTTATTACAGGCCCTAGGAGAGTAATGCTGGAGGAACAGGGTAGTGGATTTGAGATACTGCTTGTCATACATTTGGAAAATGCAGGCAGGAACAAGTCCTTCTGTGGAGTGCTAAAATAACTAAAGAGTTGTCAGTTACACTGAACTGACACTTGTGCCCTAACTTCTTACCTAAGGATACTGAAATCTAACTGAAATGCAGTTTTCGTAAATTACTAACTGGGAAACAACATTTAGGCTTAACTACCTACAAACTACCAATTAACCTCTGATTACATAACCTGAAAACAGCCACCATCATGTTCCAAAAAAGGCGACTACAAAACTATAACCAATCAGTTACTGAATTCGGTTTGCTTCCTTATGCTCCTTATAAAACCCTTTCCTTCAAGCCGCTCCTGTGGATCCCCAAACGCAAACCATGGCTGGGAGCTTCCTGAGTCACAAGTCGCTGTTTGCTCTAGTAAACTCTTTATGTTTTAATTGCGTTTTAGCTTAATTTTTAACAGAGGAAAGGACAGGCTGGGGACCCCATAAACCCCATCACTGAGTGGGGATTCTTGGCTGACAACATCTTTACCGCACAATCTGAGGGAAACACCCGCGGGGCTGCGGGCGCGCAGCTACCCCAGAGGCCTTTCAGCCGAGCGAGGTCACATGTGGACAGGACAGGATGCTCAGGGTCCTGGCTGCCGTTCTAGCCCCTACCCTGTGGCCCTAGGGGTCCGAGGGCCGAGCTGCACCAGCTGGGACTCGGGTTTGCAGACTCCGGAGCTGACACCCGGAGGCCTGGGACCCGCCACAGCCGGTTCCAGGCGGCTCCAACCCCCAGGACGGCCAGCCCCACACACTCACCATTTCCCAGCTTCCGTGTTGTCCCTGCATCCTCCTTACAGATCTTGCAGTACCTGCAGGTCACAGCACGACACAGGTTGTGGTGAGACACATGGAACATTCAGAGCCAAAGAGAAGGAGCAGGGAACACGGATGTAGCTTGGCATGGACAAAGCCCAGTGCCAGATTGTGGATGACGCCCCCTTCCTCTCCCACTGCGAACCTGATTGGACAGTTTCCAGCCCGGCACTCTTGATTGGACGGGGCCCCAGACCCAAGCCCCTGAGTGACAGATGATGGGATCTCTCACATTCAAAGCTGCAACTAGTTTTTCCTCTACCCTCAGGGACCTGGCACTGCCTGGAGAACATTTGCATTTAACCTTGTATATTATAGTCATATAGATTAATATATATATATACACATGGATATACATATACATAATGGATATACATATAGTCATATCCATTGTGAATAATACATATAATATTCAAAAGAAACCTAAGATTACTTTAAAATGTCAGGTTCTGAGTCAGGCATGGTGGCTCGTGCTTCCTAGCACTTTGGAAGGTCAAGGGAAGAAGATGACTTGAGGCCAAGAGTTTGAGACCACCCTTGGCAAGGTAGTGAGACACCATCTCTACAAAAAAATTTTAAAAGCAGTCATGGTATTGCATGCCTGTGTTCTTAGCTACTCAGGAGGCCAAGGAAGGAGAATTGCTTGAGCCTACAAGTTGGAAGCTGCAGTGAGCTATGATCAGGCCACTACACTCCAGTCTGGGAATCAGAATAAGACCCTGTCTCTAAAAATAAGTAAAAAAAACAAATCAGATCTTATAAAATTTCTGACCTCTGTTTTTTTAAGGAGGAAGCCTGAGTTTTGAAAAAAGAGGCAATCCTCTCAGGCAGCAGTGCCTACTAGAACTAAAGTAGGAGCCACGTGTGTCATTTTAAATTTTTTAGTGGCAACATAAAAGAAAACAAGCATGTGAAACTAATTGTAATAATTTATTTAACACAATATATCCAAAATACTATTTCAATATGTGGTTAAGATAATATTATTAATAAAGTGTTTTTGGTACTAAATCTTTCAAAGCCCCTCTGTATTTTAAGCTTCCAGAACACCCTGATTAAGACAGCACATTTGGATACATATGTCTGATTTTTCCACCTTTAGTTATATTACATATATTTAGTGGGTCCAAGGAATGTCTGCCTCTTTCTTTCCTATAATTGCTTATCATTTATTGATTAGTATTTTCTTAATTTCACTGTAGGTTACAAAATAGCAGTGTTCTAATTCTATTATGTCCTCTGCATATAGTAATTCTTATTCTTATATTAAAAGTTGTATTTTCTCATGAGCTCTTCATTAATTCAAAACTAACCTATTAGGGGCGGGCTCGGTGGCTCATGCCCGTAATCCTAGCACTCTGGGAGGCTGAGGCGGGAGGATCAAGGTAAGGAGTTTGAAACCAGCCTGAGCAAGAGTGAGACCCCCGTCTCTACTAAAAATAGAAAGAAATTAATTGGCCAACTAAAAATATATTTAAAAAAGTTAGGTGGGCATGGTGGCACATGCCTGTAGTCCCAGCTACTCGGGAGGCTGAGGCAGGAGGATTGCTTGAGCCCAGGAGTTTGAGGTTGCTGTGAGCTAGGCTGACGACACAGCACTCACACTAGGCCAGGCAACAGAGTGAGATACTGTCTCAAAAAAACAAAAAACAAAAAAAAAACTGACCTATCAGGAAAGGAAGAATAAAAGCTTGATTTTTATTTTTTATTTTTTAACCACTGTGATAACAATGATGAAGTGGCCCCAGCAAACAAGGAAAACATAGTGATATTTTTTCTAACTTTATTTTTTGCGTATTTGATAAGATTCTATACACTGCAGTTATATCTATTTTTGAGTTCAAATTGCTCAAGTCTGTGAGAGACCCTTCACATTGTCTCCTGTGTCCTCGTGCCATGAGACCATAGGTTTTGAGAGTTTTTGTTTGTTTTTTGTTTTTTTCCTGAAACAAACACACATGCATCCTTCTTATTGCCTTTTATATAACTTGCAAATAGATTTCCTGTTTGGTATATTCATTTTAACTTGACTTACAGTGTTTCCAACCATGCACAATATTCTGATTTTATATTTTGAACTTTAACAATCTTTTATTAACATTTCTTGATTTGAGTCACAGGCCAGATTTATCCTCACACCTTGTAGAAATATTACCAATGTTTTCTTCTATAATAGTATTTGTATGTTTTTAATTTTTTGTCATTTATATTCCTCCTTTATTTGTCCTTTATCTTACTCTAGCCCTATAAGAATAAATACATTTCAACTTCTTTATAGGAATATCTAGTTCTCAAACACTAAGTGTTGATAAAGCATCCTTCTTTGTAGTTTTTATTGTGTAATTTCTTTTATACACTGTGGTGGAATTCTGAATCTTATACTTTCCCAGTCTGCTTGTCTATTTTTGCATCAATACCATACTGCTTTAATTATACAATGTTTTAATGTCATGTAAGACCAAAAATCATCACTGTGTTTCTTTCTTAGGGATTTTGGATATTCCCATGTTTGCTTTTCCATGTGCACTTTGCAGAATCATTGCTTGCTTTAAAGAAACTGACAGAATATATTACAAAATCAAATACAATATTGACGTTAGCTTAAGGATATTATTCAGAATATTACTAGGCTGGGCGCGGTGGCTCACACCTATTATCCTAACACTCTGGGAGGCCGAGGCAGGCAGATCATTTGAGCTCAGGAGTTTGAGACCAGCCTGAGCAAGAGCCAGATTCTGTCTCTACTAAAAATAGAAATAAATTAGCTGGACAACTAAAAATATATAGAAAAATGTAGTCAGGCATGGTGGCTCATGCCTCTAGTACCAGCTACTCAAGAGGCTGAGGCAGGATTGCTTAAGCCCAAGAGTTTGAGGTTGCTGTGAGCCAAGCTGATGTATGGCACTCTAGTCCAGACAACAGAGCGAGATTCTGTATCAAAAAAGAAGAAGAAGAAGAAGAAGAATATTGAGTTTTTCTATTCCATTTGTTTAAGTCTTTAGTCATATATTTCAGGAATGCTTTATTATTCTGCTCACATAGACTTTGCCCATTTTTCATTCGATTTGTTCTAGGTCATTTTGTTTTACTTTTAAAAATTTACTTTCTAATTTTTCAACATATACTTCTCACATTTTATTCATAAATGATCATGAATGATACATAGAAAAGCTGCTGTGTATGTTTATCAATATTCTATTGTGTTTGTTTACTGAACTATTTTTTGTATTAGGTTATTTTAAGCAATTACTTTGTGTTTCCAGATATATAATCATATCATCTGCAAATTAGGTCTTACATATTGGCTTTTATTTCTTCTGCCATATTCTAATGCCTTGGATAAAGCTCAATGCAAATTTAACAAATACTGTATGCAATATTGTGCTTTTTAGTATTGTTTCTTAAAAACAGTGGGAATGTCCCTCATGTTTTCCATTAGTATAAAAAAGATGATTTTGTCAAGTTTAAAAAGATTTATTAATGCCTAATTGTGACATTCTTAAATTATCAGTAATGCAGGTTAATTCTGCTAAGTAGATATTTTTGCATCTACGACTATAATTATGTGATTGTTCTATTGTTCCTTATTAAAATAATGAATCCTATCACTGAATTTCCTAATATTGAATTACAGAAATAACTGAATTTTCCATTATATACTGTTTTTAATAATCAATTGGGATTTGTTTTCTAGTATTATATCGTACATATTTGGAATGTGTAGGCAAAGATGAGATTTTTCTGTAACAGTCTATGTTGTACAACATTTGGAAGTTTTTGGTACCAATGTTTCATTTGATTTCTGTAATTTATTTAGAAGTAGTACTTCCATTGTAATGTTGTCAAACTGAGTTAAAAGTATTGATTTAAGGGATATTTAAAATGACTGTAGAATTCCTTTGTTTAGATACATTATCCTAGATCTGTGTTTGTTATAAACTTTTCTGCTCGTATGAATACTATATCATTTAGTCTTCCTTTCTAAACAGTCATATATATTGGTAAACAATATTTTTCCACAAAATTTCCATGTCCTTTGATTTTTCAAATCAACGGGTAAATTAAGTTGTGCTAATTATTCTTTAACGATTATAGTATAAATTTATAATGTAATGTTTAATCTTCTACATCTAACCCATTGATGCATCCTTGTCATTTTCTTTATGTCAACTCATTATCCTCCCAAAACTGTAAATAAAGGGGCATCTCAAAAGCCCAAGAGTTAACTAAGTTTTAAATTTTTAGTAAAAGACCTTCTCAGGGAAGCACATAGTCCAGTGTACAGCACATGCTTCACTGCCAGGCCCTCTGCGTTGGACGTCAGCTCTTTTCCACATGACTGCCTTCAAAGATCATGGAAAAGGAAGAGCCTCTTCCAAAGACTCCAAGGGTGTCCTTGGAGATGCTGATAAAGAACCTGCAATTAGGGCAGGTGCTGACGCCTCGGGCCGCTGGCTGCGTGGCCCAGTGGCTGCGGCAGCTGCGGTGAGACCCCGCACTGCTATTGTGGGCTCACCGCCGCGGTGGCCGCCGCCCCGCTCCCCTTTTCTACCGAATTCCCTTTTCATCAACTCCTCTTCTGCCGACGCTGGCGCGGCCGCCCGACTGCGGCTGTAGGCCGGTGCTCCCGCGCCCGCAGCCGGCGTCCGGCTCCGAGGCCGGCGGAGCGCGAGCGCGAGCGCGGCTGCGCGGCCGAGCCTGCGGCCACACCCCAGGGACCGCCCGGCGCGCCGCCCCTTCCCGAGGCTGCAGCGTCATTTCTGTCCTCGGTACTCAGGAGCCCTGTGGAGCGAAGCACCTCCGAGCATCTCTTCTCTTCGCCGCCATCCCGCGAGCCGCCCGGAGGGTAAGGCCCTGCGGACGCGGCGGTGCCCAGGAGAGCCGGGGCGGGACTGCAGGGCCGACACTGCCGCCCCTGGGGGCGAGGCGGACACTGCTGCGCGCTGACGACCCGCCCGACGGCCGCCCCGCCGCTCGTGCGCCGCGGGCTCGGGGACGCAGTTCCTAGCGTTAGGGTGCTCCTGTGGCCTCCCGTGTCTTACGTTGCTGTAAGGCTGGTG